AGTACTAAGAAAAAGGTTTTATGTTTTAGAAGAACTTCAGCCTGCTCGGAGCTGAGTTGGGAGGGATTCTGTGGGAAGCTTCCATGGAGGATAAAGGAGCTAGTGAGTACTGGAAGTTTTTCAAGAATGCTCTCCTGGAAGCACAAAACAGTTAATCCCCTTTAAAGGTAAGGGAAGTAGGCAGAGCAAGAGACCCCCTTGGCTTAAGTGTGAGCTTCTGAGTATGCTCAAAACCAGAAGAGAATCATACCAGAGATGGAAAAGTGAGTGAATGCCCATTGAGAACTACAAGAGCATTGCCAGGGTGTGCAGAGATGCAGTTAGAAAAGAAAAAGCTCAGCTAGATTTGAAATTGGACAGAGATGGCAAAAACTACAAGAAAGGGATCTTCAGGTACATAAAAACCAAGCAGAAACAGAAGGAAAATATTGGCCCACTATTAAACAGGAAAGGTGAATTAGTCACCAACAACACTGAAAAGGCAGAAATTCTCAACACTTTCTTCACCTCTGTCTTTATCAGCACTTTTGAGCCCCAGACCTTGAACAAAAATCCAGGTTGATGCAAACACAGATGTACTGTCAGTGAAGGATGAGTTGGTATGCGAACTACTACAGGAGCTTGACCTCTACAAATTGATGGGCCCTGATGTTATCTAACCAAGGGTGTTAAGAGATCTGGCTGATGTCATTGAGAGGCTGCTCTCTGTAATCTTTGAGAAGTCATGGAGATTGGGGGACACCCCAGAAGACTGGAAGAAGGCTAATATTACCACCACCTACAAGAAGAGCTTAAAGGAAGATCCGGGAAATTATAGGCCCATCAGTCTTACTTCAGTCCCTAGGAAAGTTATGGAAAAAGTCTTCCTGGGGGTATCACAAGTCAAATGAAACACGTGGCTGGGAAAAGCCAACATGGATTCACCAAAGGTAAATTGTGCTTAGCAAACCTGATTGCCTTCTATGACAAAGAAACCTGCTTGGTTGATGTGAGGTGAAAGGTGGACATTGTCTACCTAGATTTCTCCAAGGTTTTCACTACGGTTCCCTCCAGCCTCCTCCTACAGAAACTGATGCATTACAGTCTAGACTAGTGGTCTGTGTGGTGGGTGGAGAACTGGCTGACACGCCACATGGATGGTGGTAAATAGCTCCTTTTCAAAATGGCAACCTGTCACAAGTGGGGTCCTCCAAGATCATATTGGGCCCAACGCTGTTTAATATATTCATAAGTGACCTGGATGATGGGATCCTGATGAAGATTGCTGATGATATCAAACTGAGTAGGGAAGTGGACAATTTGGAAGGGAGAGCCACCTTGCAGGAAGACCTGGATAGGCTGTAAGAGTGGGCTAACAAGAACCTTATGAAGTTCAACAAAGACAAGTGTAAGGTCTTGCACCTGGGAAAACATAATCCAGGAATGCAGCACAGGCTGGCATCTACTTGACTGGGGAGCAGCTCTGTGGAAAGGGACTTGTGGGTCCTAGAGGACAAGAGGCTCAAAATGAGTGAACACTGTGCTGCTGCCAACTGGATGCTGGGCTGCATCAACAAGAACATCACCAACAGAGATAAAGAAGTCATTATCCCGCTCTACTCAGTGCTTTACAGGCCACACCTGGAATACTGTGTTCAGTTTTGGTCTTCACCATACAAAAAAGATGTGGACAGGCTGGAGAGGGTCCAGAGAAAGGCCACCAAGATGATCGAAGGACTGGGAAGCCTGTCATATGAGGACAGGCTGAGAGAACTGGTTTTTTTCAGCCTTGAGAAAAGAAAGATTAGGGGAGACCTTATCACCATGTTTCAGTATTTAAAAGGTGGCTACAAAGAAGATCAAGACTCCCTTTTTACAAGAAATCACATGGAAAAGACAAGGGGTAATGGGTAAAAGTTATGCCTGAGGAGATTCCAGCTGTACACAAGAGGGAATTTTTTTACAATGAGAAAAATCAGCCATTGGAATATTCTCCCCGGGGAACTGGTGGATTCCCCAACATTAGACACTTTTAATATTCAGCTGGCCATCTTATTTAAACCGTGCTT